GGAGGAGGGAGGAGGGAGGAGGGAGGGAGGAAAAGAAAAGGGATACTGATGTATGGAGATGACTCTCGACGCCAGGGCTCGGGCTCGGGCTGCCCTCCTTGAGGGGGCCATTATCTGCATTTTACATCTGAGGAACTGAAGGCCCAGCAAGATTGAGGCACTTGTCTGAAATCACATAACCAGTGGATGGTGAGGCCTGGGTTTGAACCCACATCAAATGCCCAAGCTTACGGTCTCCTCCAGCTCCAGGAGAACTAAAGCCGAGGAGGAGCTTCCTCCACCTGCAATGCATCTGAGAGACCTGGGGGTGAGAGGCGCACACGCGGCCACTGGGTGAGGAGAACACTGCGGCCCGCATCCCGGGGAGGAAGGGCTGGGAGTTTGACCCTGAGCTGGCACCCGGGCACCCATGTGTCAGGAGGTGGAGGAACTTTCTGAGACTCCACCGCTCCTACCTTCTGGTGCCTGTATTCTAGCTCAAGTCTGTGGACTGCAAACCCCAGCGTGTCTCATCCTGCCACGGGGCTGCCTCCTAGTCCAGCTGAGCCCCTGCAAGGCCCTCAGCCAGGAGGCAGTGCATCCCCAGAGGCGGGCGCGGGGGTATAAACTTCCCTCCCAGGGGCAGGCACGGGGGCATAAACTTCCCTCCCAGAGGCAGGCACCGGGGTATAAATTTCCCTCCCAGAGGCGGCGCGGGGGCATAAACTTCCCTCCCAGAGGCAGGCACGGGGGCATAAACTTCCCTTGGCTCGCAACGCTCCAGCCAAGGTCAGAGCACAGGCTCCCACACCCGCTTCAAATGCACCCAGCCTGACAGAAAGGCCAGGCTGCAGGCAAACTCAGACACAAGGTGGAAGAAGAATCCATCCCGGGACCATCGGGGAACAAAGCCAGCAAGAGAGACAGGAGCGGCCAGGGCCTCACGGCTGGAGAAAGACGTGAGTAGGCACAACATGGGGGTCTCGTGAGGCCAGCACGTGTTCCGAGCCCTGAGTGGCTGGATGCAGAGCAGGGAATGCAGGGGCGGCACAGGCACAGGGGGGTCCCCGAGGACCCCCCGCCCCTCCTTATGGAGGCGACCCAAGTGGGTCTGTGTAGGGGGGCAGAATTGCCTCCCCAAAACCTCACTTTGGGGCATGTGGATTATTTTGAGCTGAAAACAATCAGGGCCCGAAAGACTTAGGAAGAAACTTTGTCCATCCCCCTAACTGACTAAAAGAATTTAGCTAGAGGGCCTGTTCCCAGAATAGCGCTATCAGCAGAGACATCTGCTGAGAATGTGGGCTTCCGGTGCGGGGGAACTCAGCAGGCGGCCTGGAGATCAGGGTCCTCTCTGTGTCCCAGTGTCTCTGCAGGGCCCACCAAACATTTATTTACCAAACACTTGCTTTTCCGTCTCCACGTGAGTTACTTTCCTCCCCTTTGAAGTCCCAAACCACTGCCCCCAACATCCTCCTTTGGCTTTAACTGGAAGTGGTATTTCAGGTGAGGGCGTACATGGCGAGTTCATTTTCCCGGCTCTCTCCCAAGTATATACGTTACCAAGCTTTTGTTTGATGTTCTCCTGTTAATGTGTCTAACGTCAACTTAATTCTTAGATCAGCCAGAAGAACCCAGACGGGTAGAGGACAATGTTTTCCTCCCCAGCTTTTGAAAGTCTGGGGAAGAAACAGACACATGTGGAGACAATGATGTGTCTCCTGAGACGTTATCAGGCTGGGAGTACATGAGGATCTCCAGACACATTCAGATCCACTATTCTTTTCCGCGCTGAAGTCATCATTATTCCGGAAATCTTGTCCACAGGGCGATTAGCTGGGAACTTCCGGTGCTCAACCTCTAGTGTCAGGGTGGTGATCTCCTGGCAAGTCCAGCCCCGCACACCTCTGCCCATTTCTAAAACAGAGCGAACTCTTCCTCACTTGCGGGTCTTTGCACTGACTGTTCCCTCTGTCTCCAGTACCCTCCACCTACCTCCAGAGCCGGTACCTCCTCAGCCTTCAGATCTCGGGCTATCCAGCCGGTTCTCTCATCCCGGCGTTTCCCCTCAGAGCGTGCTGTTTGGGTTCGCTGCTGCCGTGAGGATTGTTAATGTCTTGTTGTCTGTCTCCAGCTGTGATAAAGTCGTGAGAGCAGGGATCAGGCTGTGATCTGTCCACCCTTCTTTCCCCGGGACCCAGCATCATGCCTAGGACGTGGTCAGAGCTCAGTGAATGTTGAGAACGCATGAAGCGGTTCACAGAGTGTCATGCGATATAACATTAATAAGCCGCACGGAAAGGGCTGAAAATCCAACAATTCGCTCTCGTGCCGCACAGGGCCCTTCTCCCTATTTGGATAAGCGAACCAGGCCAGGGGCAAGTTCCAAAGCCCGAGAAGACAGATCAAAGCTCACCACCACCAAGTCCAAGAGGTGGCCCTGACCCTGCTCCTCCCTGGCAGTCAGGCAGAGTCCTGTCAAGGATCGGAACAAAGGTGGTTTCCAAACCCCACGCTCCCAGGTACAAGTTTTGTAACCATTAGCCTCTGTTGTCCTACATCAGCACAAAGGAGAGTGAAGTCATCTGCTGAGATTGCCACGAGGATGGAGTGTCCTCACCCCCACTGCCCCAAGGAACGTTTGGCAAAAGTCTGAAGACACTTCTGGTCGTCACGACACCGGGGTAGAGTCCAGGGATGCTGTCAAACATCCTAAAGTTCACAAGACATCCTCCACAACAAAGAATTACTCTGCCCCAAATGTCAACAGTGTCGAGGGCCAGAAACACTGCATCAGAGATAATGCCGTTGCACGGGAAGCCGTCGAATGCGTCCCTCTCTGTGACCAGATGCACCTGCAGGCAAACAACTGCAAAGGTCTGACCAGCCTCAGCTGAACACTCGCTGACCGCGCCTCCAACCGGCCTCCGCCCACACCAGTGTCTCACCAGGAATCCCCGCTGTCTTAGTCTCTTTGGGCTGCTGTAACAGAACACCACAGACTGGGTGGCTGGAACCACAAACACTTACTTCTCACAGCTCTGGAGGCTGGGATGTCCAAGATCAAGGTGCCAGCAGATTCAGTGTCTGGTGAGGGCCCTGGTACACAGAGGGCCATCTTTTCACTATGTTCTCATACACTGGAAACGGCAAGGGAGCTCTCTGGGGTCTCCTTTACAAGGACACGAATCCCATTCATGAGGGCTCCACCCTCATGGCCTCATCACCTCCCAAAGGTCTCCCCTCCAAATCCTGCCACGTTGGGGATTAGGTTTCACTATATGGATTTGGGGAGGATACAAACATTTGGTCTATAGCACCCATCTTCCGATTGTTATTAAGATCCTTCTTTCACACCTGAATGCAAATCTCACTACAGAGAAGCCTTCCACCTGTTTTCTGTGCTGTTAGCCTTGTTTGTCCTACTGCACTGAATGTCCTCGGCGGCACAAATTACAGCCTGCCCACCGCTGAGGCTCTCTCCTCCCTCTAGCCATCCTTAGGCCTTAGCACCAGGTGTTGCCTCCTGAGGAGAGAACTTGGCTCATGAAAAAGGAGAGGGCTCCTTAGGCTAGCAAATCCAAAGTCCTAACTGTACGGCTTCTTCCTGACTGTCTGGCTTTTCTCATCTGCAAAATGGGCACCACTGAATCCATGTGTCAGGCTCTCCCCAAACAATGAGACACTGTTTGTGACATGTTGCTTAGAGTAGGCAATACAATGCCACTGTTTCACAGGAAGAGCTTAGCAGAGCCTGATCAGCTGAACGTTAAATCCAACCCTCTCTCTTGAGCAGAGTAAGGTTTTTGTTTTCTAATTCCTTGAGAGCCAAGCATCTTGTCAGGAAGGGGAGGACAGTATCAGGCTTCAAGGTGTGTATCTGGAAGAGGTCATTTTCTTCCTGAGATATCTTACTCTTTCATCTCTCTCCCTATATAAAGTCAAAGGGCTTCCTTTCAAAACCTGGCAGAGGTTTTGTGGCGTGAATTCCCCACCTTTCCTGGTCTGATCACACCTCCTGAGTGCCAGCCTGCCACCTGGGGAAACTGCCATTGCCAGCTCTGCACTCCACTTACAGCCTGTTTATGAGAGCGAGGAGGGTCTACAATAGTCATCTCCTAAAGAAACAAGGGAATTCACAGCTCTGGACTCCCAGTTGTAATTTCCAGGGCATCCAGTGATTCCAGAAGGAGAATGTCAAAGGGGCTGACGGCTCAGAGCGTGGGGAGGAAACATTCACCTCCAACCACTGTGGCAAGTCCGTCAGGGTCAGGGGCATAGATCCCAGCCCCCCGGGGATCCCCCAGGACCTCCTTCATCTAATTCACAGGCCACTGTTTTATGAAGTTCATGCAGAAACATCAGGCGAGGGGAAAATGTGCTGGCGGGTGAGGAGTAGAGGGTGTACCCATTTTATTTGCTGGGAGAACCACTCAGGATGTCTCAGACAGGTCCTACTTCTTTACAGTTCTACCCTTGATGGGGAGTAAGGAAGGATAGCATTCTATCCCTGAACAAACCCAGCACAAACACATGTTTCAGAGCAGGCTTCATGTGCCCCATGCTATTACACTGTTGGCTTCCAGAAGGTCCCCAGTCCTTTCCCTCCACTTCTGCTAAAGTCCCTCCATTAATTCTTGTACCAGAAGCCATGTGACCAAGCAGAAGACACCGTGAGCACTTTAGCAGCTTACCCTAAAGATCTTGCTAATACGTGCAGCTGTCCCCAGATAGGGGACCACGTCAGGAGGCAGCCAGGGTCCCATCCCTGGAAACGTCAAGCAGAGGAGAGCTAAGAATCTAGGAGGGGACGGCAGAGGGCTATAGCACAGACTAATCCACAGACACGGCAACGGCTATCTGGGGAGGCCAGCTGACAGCAGCAGCTGAAGAATATTTTATTTCAGTGACTCGAGTCTCACCACTGCTGAGAAGCTGGTCACAGCTAAGGCTTATCAGGCTTAATATGTGAAACATCATCCAGAAAGCAGCAGACAAAAAGCAGACACAAGGCTGACTAATGTCAAGGACGGCACGCAACCCCAGAGGCTGGGCTCTACCGGGCAGTCTGCTCTCGCCCCCTCCTGCCCCACTGTCCCTGTCTGTGACGTGGGGACAACAGTCTCTGCCTTGCTTTTCTATTGTGAAGATCAGAGTAGATGAGCATTCAGAAAAGGTGAGCTAAACCCTTAAACATTGAAGGAACTAAGGAATTATGCTTAGAGGATGAACATTTCAGTACTGCTTCTTCTGGAAGCTTCCCTGATCCTCCCTGACCTGGTCAATTCCTGCCATCAGCTCCCAGAGTACCAGGTCGTCCTCCTTCTACTTACGGCAGTTGTCATCCCATATTTCTCCATCTGATTCTTTGGTTTGTGTTTGTCTCATACGTTTGACTGTAAACACAGAGCAGGCAGGAGCCAGGTCTCTTTGTGTTTGATGTTGTTGTTCGTTCTTACCATGGCCTCCCGGCGCAGGCCCTGATAGACGTCAAACGCCTGAACAAATGGATAACCACAAGCTCCATGGTGTTGGAAATGAACTGCAGCAAACTGCCCCCGATCATTCCCGATCTGTCACTACAAAGGTGTCCGCAGGCTTGATAACCACCAGTGCGCCTAAGAGAGACCATCATCTCTCCTGAAATTTAGCAGGTTAATGAAGGTGGCTGGTATTTTTTCTATTTCTTGGGGCTATGGAATCTTCCCTTATCTGCAAACGACTTAAAAATATTGTGCAGGCATCCTGAAACATTAAGCGACTTTACTAGGTTTGCTCTTAAAGAGAGAAAGGGGAAAAAAAAAAAAAAAAAAAAGCTGGTTTTGCATGTAGTTTCCAGCAACCACATTTATAAAAGCAAAGCCTGAAGCTGGAACTTTGGGGTGAGTTTTAAAAGAAATGTGAGCACTGTAAGTTAAATACTACTTTGTGCCGGTGGCACAACGCACGGTGATTATCAGTCCTTAATTATGTGGAAATCTAAAGATCTGTGGCCCTTTACTTAAGAGTCCAGTGGTTTCCAGCAAGTATGCGCACTACTGCTGTTACATTCATGGGGTAAACTGTGCTTTGCGCTCTCCTGCCATTTCTTACGAACAATTCCATTTTCTTCAAACTTTTTGAGCAAAGGAAGGTCACAGAACGGTACTTTTTTTTTTCTCTTCTGTGTTCCTTGTCCCAGGTGAAATTCCCCCTCCTTCTGCAGTGAGCTTTGGATAATGGCCTCATTAACTGGGTTACATTCCCATTTGGCAGAGGAACAGGTGGGCAGCACAGAGGTAATGGCTCTCGGATGAGAGAGCCACAAAAAGTGAATTGTTCAAAGGCCCCAGACGATTAAACAATTACTCTCTCTGTAGTTCATATTTTAGAGTAAACAGCATTTACCTAGACTGCATTTTTCTTCGTCTCGGAAACTCGTCTGCCTCTGCCGGCTGTGTGTCCGTCCCCTTTCTCCCCGATGAAATTTCATCCCTCCAGGAACTGTTTGCTAGCAGAAGCTGCTGATCTCTGGCCAAATGAAAAACGCCTGCACGTTCTGCTTCTCATCGTGCATCAAACCCTCATTTCCAAACACGATACCCTTTTCCTGATAGCCTGCTGCACTCCACTGCCTCTCTCTCCACACTAATTCAGAGGTTATAGCTCCTTCGCTTTATAACATTTACCAAGGGTGTGGACGAGATGGCCTCCCACTTTAAATGGATTTCCAATTTTCAGAGGCCATTCTTCAGTTCCCCGCTCCGATGTCCTCGTCCTTGTCGCTTTTGAGTGTCGGTTATAGTGGAGTAACGGAGCACCTGAACGAAACCAAGCCTCCCGAAACTGGATGTTCGGGAACTGCTGAAATCCCAGCATCTCAACTGGGAGTTCTGGCATTTGGCGACTAATTGTGTTGCTGAAATGTGGCCCGATCTGAAAACTGTAACCAGAAACAACGAAGAATGTGTGTGTGTGTGTGTGTGTGTGTGTCTGCAATAACATAGGCACTCATGACCTGAAAACAAGTGTTTTTATTGAGACAAAAGGAGCAAGTTGTGTTTTGGGGGCTCCTCCGAAAAATACAAGGTCACCACCTTGTGTCATAAATTTGGACCAAGTTCAAGTTCCATACAATTAGGGGCAGCCCCTGAA